CAACGCCAGTTTCAGGAGACCTGATGTCCTTTTCTGGCCCCCAAAGGCGCCACACACATATGGTACTCGTGGCTACAAGCAGACAAAACACTCATACCCAGAAAATAAAAACAAACAAACGAACAGGACTGACCTAATTCCCTGAGTCCCCAGAAATAGTCTTGGGTTCAAAGCTTCCAAGAGACAAGTCACCATGAGTTCTAAGTCTGCAAAGAAATGGGTTTTGCCAAGAACGGAGAATCACAAGGAGATGCCAAGGGCAGGAGCGAGTTAAGCTTTGCCAAGTTTCCTGACCCGTAAAAACTGACATAATTAGCAGATGTTTTAATCCACCAAGTGTGTGGTCATTTACTTTGTGTCGAGAGGACTCTGTTACAGTGGGGAGAAGTGATAACAGAGAGAAGTTAAAGGACTTGGCCAGGGTTCACATTGGAAACCAATGGAGCTGGGAGTCCAGTCTCTACATTTCCTACAGTGTGCAGTTGGTCACTGTTCTACCACTAGTTTACAGAAAAAGGCTCATTGGCACCAGACCTCTTCTTTCCTGGAAAATATAAACTGGGACAAACCACGTCTGATGCTAAACCCTGCTACTTTGTTAAATGAGGTAGAGTCAGAAGAAAGAGCTGACAGCACAACACACATCTACACACATCACACACACACACACACACACAATGCTCTCAAACACACTCACACATCTGCACTCATATACTCACACACATCACACACACACACTCATATACTCACACACATCACACACACACTCATATACTCACACACATCACACACATACACACACTCATATACTCACACACATCACACACACTCATATACTCACACATATCACATACATATACACACTCATATACTCACACACATCACACACACATGCTCTCATACACACACTTACACACACTTATTCATACACTCATACACATCACACACATACATCCTCTCATATACACACACTCATACACACACATCCACACATTCATACTCTCACACACATCACACACACACACACACACACAATGACAATGACGACAACAACAGGGGAGGGAGAAACTAAAGAGTTTGGTTAATATCTGGGTTCTCTTTGGTTGTGCCAGGAGATGGAAGGCTGTGTTTGTGAATAGACTATTTCAGTGGTTGATTCTAAATGGTGCCTCATTCAAGGCCATGGGTGTTCCATACAGCAGACACTATGGGTCCTTGGAAGCAGAGAGATGCTGTGCTCTAGTTGCCTGTGCTGTGAACTCAGAAAAGTCTCTTGTCATATTGGGATTTTCTTTTTTTGTATGAATCAGGGATAATAATACTTGGTCATCCCTGACCCTCACTATCTGCTCTCCCATGGTTATTTATCTCGACTATGCTCTACATTTCATTGCTTTTTTTCAGTACGGACTCTCAATATAGTGTGCGGTGGAGTGTAAGTGTGGCAGAACCTAACAGCACTCAAGGGGAGGACTTATCTTGGCTCACAGTTTTAAGTGTACAGTCCACCATGGCAGGGAAGGCATGATGGAGGTCTTGGATTCAGGAATATGTGGTCAGAATTCCTCACATCTCAGGTGGCTAGGAAACAGAGAGAAACTGGTGCCTGACAAACTCCAGCTTGTATCAAAGAAGACAAGTCTCCGAGATCAGAGGCAAATTACCCATCCCCACATAACATGCATGTGGAGGATCCTTCACTCTCACAGAGTCTTCTATCCATCTGCTGTCTTTTCTTTTTGCAGTGATCTGCTCCTTTCAGAAAATTAGTCGTGCTCTGCTAAACCGCCCAGCCTTCCTTAGTAAGCATGTTTGGACAGGATGTGCTATTACTCAATGCTGGTCTCAAAGATGAGTTTTCCCCAAGTCTGGATGAATTGGAGCAGGCTCTTTTGATTTACAGTCTCCGAAGTTTTCCTTGATACCCTCTAGCAGAAACAGATTATGAGCAAAGGTTGTGGTTTCAGTTGCATCCAATACGCAGCTCTTGGATGAAGGAAGACGGAGGACTCTTTAACCTGTTATTTCTGCCGTTTGTCTACATTTAGATTCCAAAAATGACTGTGGAAACTATGCATTTCTAAGAAAACCCACTTCTTTTTCAAACATGCCTGACTCTCTCTCTCTCTCTCTCTCTCTCTCACACACACACACACACACACCAATTCCATTTGAAATACTAACATTTCTCTAGGTGCCTTACTACGTAAGGAAAGCCAATCTTGCTTCTGCCCCTCATCAGCCCTAAAGCCTGCAAGCCACCAGGCTCCCACTTCTCCTCCTTCACAGTATATCAGGCTTGCAAGATGGAGATTGAGAGAGAGTTGGCAGACATGGAAACCTGCCTGGTTCTGGCAAAAGCATCCATTGGAACCTTGCTTTGTAATTTCCTGAGCGTTTAGGGTCAGAAGTGGGAGGACACCCCCAGCTGGAAGAGAAGTCTAATCACTTCCACGTGGGAGGAGAATAAGAAACGCACAGCCTTGAAAGGGGCGCGGCAACTAGATTTTGAACTCAGGCTCAAGAATAAACGTTCCCCAAACACTACTTTTTGGAGGGAGTGAGTGCCAACTGCCTGAGAAGATTTACTTGGCCCAGATAGGACCACCCATGGACGGAAAGGATACTCAGATCCCCCACCCACAGAACTGTTCTCTGAAGAGACAGGGATGGCTAGGAGACTGGATAATACATTCTTTCCACGACTTTGACCTTTTTTTTTTTTTTTTTCTTGGTTTTAGACTCCAGAATGTTGTCTGTTCTTGGAACAATGCCTGATGCACAGTGGGTGCTAAGCAAGTATTTGCTGAGTGAAAGCCAGAATGTGGTTTCCGTTTGAGACTCCGTCTGAAGTTCCTGTCACGCAGCTAATAGTAAGAGATGAGAAAGCTAGAGGGGTCCAAACAATTGGAGAGAAAGATACACTGGGGAGGCAGGAAAGCTGGAAGAGAATCAATAGGGATACATGTGCTATCTGGGAAAGCTGGGGGCTCACCAGAGACCCTCAGGGGGTGACTAACAGGAGATGGGGGAGCCTTTGATGCGAGCATCACCTTCGAAGCTCTGATGACCTCACTTTCTCCGATTTAAAGCCAAAGCTTTTATCCCAAGGAAAAGGGGATCCGCTCCTTTTCCTTCCTCCTTTGTTGAATGCCAGTCATCTCTCGTTTTTTGCTGCCCTTACAGTTCTCCTCGAGGACTAGGCAGTACAGCCGGCTTGGCAAGAGATTGACTTTCTAAGCTCTTCCTTATCAGGGTTGTGTGGTCATAGCTCTCACTGACTGAAATGTCACTGCAATGAGGATTTTTTTCTGGGGATCAAAACTGTAAGATTCCAAAAAGTATGCTGTGTCTGCATGAAGTGAACTTGTCTTGGATACTGTGACTGGGGCGCTGGAGATCATTGGGAAAATTTGGCAAATGAGTTTTGTCAATCTCTTTAGCACTATTAGCTTCATGTTCGTGACCAGGAGACCTCTGTCTTTCAGATTGTAAATGAGGGCCACAGGCAGCTATTGACCTTAAAAACACCTCCTGGTTTGTCTCTCTATCATTGAGGTCCATTTAGCAGATCCATTATGCATTTGCTGAGAGTTTAGCTAGTGGAAGACCTGATAATGTGAAGACAGCTTGCCTCTCCCAAGCTCTCTCAGCTTAGGCAATGTGGATAACACCAGGGTAGAAAGTCCTTGTCTTTGGTGCAAAAGTAATTCTTTGGGTAGATAACAGGGGGCTCAAAGGAAGGGACAAAAGGGGGGAGAAAGGAGAATCTGCTAAAGGAACTGGGGTATGTCTCACTTGGTACATCAGTGGCTAGAGTGCTTGTCTAGGATCCAGAGAGCCCCAGGTTTGATCCCCACTGTAAACTTGATCTGCTGGTAGATAGCTGTCTCCCCTGCACTCCAGAAGTAGAAGTAGGAGGATCTGAATCTGGAGTTCAAGGTCATCCTCTGCTACACAGTGAGTGAAAGTCCAACCTGTGATATGTGAGACCATGTCTACAGATGCATAAATAAGTAGAACCATTGTCTTGAAGATAAATACATGAATGAGTGAATAAAACCCCACTGTATTAAAAAGTAGAGTTTGCAAGAGTAGAAAAAGAATGTACTGTGACATGTCTTCATCTTGGCTGCCATTATGCATATCAGTTACAACACCATTTCTGTGGCTCTGAAGACACCTACTGTTGGCACTAGGCTAGATTTGTTCTTCACTCTTGAAGAGAACTCTCATTGGCTAGTAGCTTCTCTTTTTATGGGAATATGTCTGGGATTCGGATATGAGCCTCACTAGCTTTAGAAGCTCCACTCAGCATGGAGGAACCCAAATCTATACATGCAAAAGCGAAGTAGGGGACAAAGAGTTGTTGACCCCTGGCCAAAGCCTAAGCTTCACACACTTCTGTCAGATCCTCTCCCTGGGAATTTGCTTAAATTATGTAAAATCGTGACTAGCTATGAACTCTTTGAACTGTATTAAGAACCAGCCTGGCAAGATATGCTTACTGGTGTTGTGAAAGAATCTTTGTATACTGTAAATATGTATTACTCCCCTTGGTTAATAAAGAGCTGATTGGCTTATAGCTGGGCAGGAAGTGATTGAGTGGAAGAGCTGGACTAGGAGGAAGCTGGGAAGAAGAGCTGAGTCTGAGGAGTTGCCAGCTAGACACAGAGAGGAAACAGGAGGTGCAAGGTGAAAGACATTTTAAATTAGCCCATGTATATTAATCTACATTCTGCCACATGGCATTACCTGTCTTTCATCTATCCCAGAATCTTCCTTGTCTCCTTGTCCTGACTAGCTTTCTCTCCTATTGGCCAACAAGGCTTTATTCATTAACAAATAAGAAAACATATTTACATGTAAGAGCTAGTTAGTAACAAGTCTGAGCTATCAGCCAAGCCTTTAAAATTAAAAATAAGTCCCTGTGTGGTTATTTGGGAGTGGATGCCATGACACAGAGAAACTCTACCTACACACTGGTACAATAATGGCACCAACATCCTAAGACCCAAGGCCTACCCAACAAAAGCTTGACACTGTTATTGGTATAGTCAAGATATAAATTTCATCCCTATTGACTCGTATAGTATTAAAAGGTGTTCTACATGCTACTTAGAAGAAAAGTAACCATCACTCTTACCAAGCTGTGAACCCTGTGAGCTATGACAACTGGTCTACCAAGACATGCATGCCCACTGGTGCAGTAGTGGGGTGAACATCATCAGAGTAACCAGCCACTCTATGCTTGGATTTAAGTCCCACTCTACAAGATGAAACTCATACATGGGCACTGTTATCAGGCCAAGAATCTGTGTCTATACAGATAATGGACCCTAAAAGAGAACATACTATTATTATACTAAATGGACATACGATTAGATCAACTCCTAAGGATGTATCACCATACTGCATCTATGAATTCTCATCAGAGAAGGTATTTTTTGTTTTGTTTTGTAGTAGATAATTAACACAGAGGCCTCTACCCAGTTAATGTTAACATAATGTTAACAGTTTGAAGTGCTTAGTCCTAAATGGAACATCTATATTATACCCCTCCTCCCAAGGCTCAAGGATCATCATGGAAAAGAGGACAAGAATATTGTAAGAGTGACAGGGGAGATATAGAGGAGAGAGAAAACAAAACAAAATAAAACCAAAAAAACCAACCAACCAAAACAAACAAAAAGACACAGAGAGAGATACCTTAATAGAGGGAGCCAGTATAAGTTTAAAGAGAAATCTGGCACTAGGGAAATGTTCACAGATCCACAAAGATGACCCTAACAAGGAATCTAGGCAATAGTGGAGAGGCCGCCTTTGATATCCTTCCCATATAATGAGAATGATGACTACCTTAAATGCCATTCTAGAACCTTCACCCAGTAGCTGATAGAAGCAGAAGCAGGTACCCACAACTAAGCACTGAGCCAAACTCCTGGAATCCAGTTGTAGAGAGGGAGGAGGAATGAGCAAAGGAGTCAAAAGTGTGCTGGAGAAACCCCCAGTAACAGATGACCTGACCTAGTGAGAGCACAGAGACCCCAGTCATAAAGCATGGGAACCAGCATTGGACTGAACCAAGGCCTCTGAATGTGGGTGCCAGTTAGGAGGCTTAGGCAGTCTATGGGACATCTAACAGTGGAACCAGTATTTATCCCTACTGCACAAATGGACTTTGGGAGCCAGATACTATTCAGGCCCTCCCCCAAATGATGTAACAGATTTTGATGATCCCCAATGGAAGGTCTCACTATCCTTGGGGAGCGGGTAGGGTATGGGTAGGGGGATTGTTAGGGGGCATGGGAGGATGGTTGGAAAAGGGAGCAGGGTGGGGGATTGATATGTAAAATGATTGTTTCTAAATAAAAAGTAAGAGTGACAGACATTTGGAATAAATGTTTTACAGACACAACAGAGCAGTTTCACACATAAACTCACTGCAGTTGTGGCAGCATTCACAAGAACTGTGCATGTGCAAAACAGATAAAATCCCAGCATGCAGTGGGGAGGTGGGCATGAAGTACCACCTCTCGCTGAGGAGCTATTGGCAGGTGATAGTTTCTGGGAAAGTTAGTTCTCTTTAGGGATGTGGTCCCTGGTAAGGCTGACCATGCTGTGGTGTGTAGCCACACACCCAAGAGTGTATAGACTGCACAAATTGAACTCCATGGATTATTTTTTTAAGAGGACACAAATTTGGAAGGGGTAGATCTGGGAAACGTTAGGGAGAGGAGTTGGGGTGAATATGGCAAAGATTTATATGAAATGCACAAAGAATAAAAAGTTTTTAAAGATAAATATAATAAAATAAGCCTTTGCATTCCTATGCTGCTCTTTTCAGGTATTTTGTCAGAACAATGGAAAAAACAAACAAACAAACAAACAAGTGATATGGGCAGTGGAGTTTTTGAGCCAAAAATTTCACCATGGATGGTGGTAGCTTAGCAGACTTGGTATTGTAACATTAATATACATAATACACTACATATATTACATACTAATATGTAATGTATGTATGAGCCTTGTCTTGTGACACGAGCTTTGCCCCTGTCATGGCCAGGAGCCCCAGCTCCAGAGTCCTGGTTTGTAAACCTCCTACACCCACGAGAACACCAGGTTTGGCCTGCTCTCACCTTTCATATCTTTTCGCAGCTCTATTTTGCTGAAAGAAGGTCCTTCCTCTGCAGCTGCATCTTCTCCCGACTCCTTAGTTTTGGTCCCAGCACTCCATACAGCCTCTGTGTCCTGCAGCGTCTGACCATGGGGTGAATGGTGGCCTTCTGGAAAGTCTTCATGCTTTTTGTTCTCCTTTTTCCTCTCATGGGGAACCCTAAATGTGGAGAAAAATATAAAGTCCACCATAAAATGTGTTCACAACGACCCAATGACTTGCAAATGACTTAGCTGGTATGGGCTGAGCGGGGAAGAGCTTGAGCTGGGACCCCCACAACGTCATGAAGAGCAAATTAATTTGGACGGAAAGGAAATCGGTAATGTCAGCTGATTGTTGAAGAAGATATTGCTGGGTGAACACACTGTCCTGAGGAATGGTGATGCCAGCCATTTCTTTTCTTATTGTTATGACCAAACACCTGAGAAGCAAGGCTGGGAAGGATTTATTTTGGCTCCCAGTTTGAGAGGAGACAGTCCATTACAATAGGGAAGCCATGAACCCTTCCCTCCCCCAGATGACCAATGTCCATCATTGAGGCTCCTTCTTCTAAAGGTTCCATAATCTTCTCAAACAGTAGCTACATGGTGACCAAGCATTTACACTCATGACTTCTATGGGGAGTCCTTTCATGTTCATATCGGACCAATTTTTTTTAATCTGGGATGGTTCCCCCAAAGCACTTATGTTGAAGATACCTAACTCGTGATATTTCTCTCCCCTTCTCTTTCTGCATCCTGATGATGAGATGAACATATTTACACTTCGGCTCACCCCTCGCCATGATGACTGTCTCAACTGTGACACATTGACACTGCAACGCTCATCAGGCTCAGAGATGATGCAGCTGACCTACCCAACACTGAGATCTTCCTCCTTCATGCTGATTTCTTCAGGAAATTTGTCAAATCCACAAAAAGCTAGCACATCAATTTGTTTCGCTTTTATGGACTGAGGATGTTAGCTGTGAACTTTCTCTTCCATAGTCAATCATCTTGTATCTTTCAGGATCTTCAACCATGGGTCTTTGGGACTCCCAGGCATGCGCCATCTCACTCCGCAAGAACCTCACTGTTCTTCCTGATCCAGGTCGGCTCACATCTCTGTCATTGCTATAACTCCTTTCCTAGTGATGCTGCAGACTCTCAAGCCTTTGTGACTTGGCCCAAGTTTCTCCCCTCCATCCTGCCAGCTCTACCCCTGCCCTCATTCTCCTGGGAATACCTAGGGTATCTGCATGTGTGTGTGTGTGTGTGTGTGTGTGTGTGTGTGTGTGTGTGTGTGGTGTGTGTACTAGGCAAGCATTCTACTAATTGAGCCACATTCCCAATTCCAACTAGCTTTTTTTTAAAAAAAAAAATTATTTTCACCTTTGAGATGGGGTCTTGCTAACTTACACATCCAACTGCACTTGGAATCATCTCCCTTCATATTTCCGAGTAGCTGTGACTACAGGCCTGTACCACCAGGCCTGGCTTCCATTAAACCTTTTTGAGCAACCCAGAATCCATAGACATGACCAGAATATTAAAGGAACACATTTCTATCTGAGAAGACTATGTCTGGGATTGGTTAAGGGTGTCCTGGGGTTGATTCAGAATGTCTTAGCACTGTCTAACGGTGTCCTGGGTTGGATAGGCTATCCTAGGATTGGACCAAGGTGTCCCGGGATTGAATGAATCAATTTGTCTTCAGATTCGTTAAGGGTATTATGGGGTGGGGTCAGGCTAGTCTGAGATTAGTTTAAGGTTTTTCGGGATTGAATCAGGATGTCCAGTAATTGATCCAAGGTTCAGAAGGCAGGACACTACTTTTTGTTGGTATTTTGAGGTTAGTCCATCTCTAGTAGTACTAAATGATAATGCATCCCTTGGATTTAATTATTTTTTTCTTTTCTGCCCAAAACAACCAAAGAAACTAAGCTGGAACACAATCATGCTAGCCATGGTTAGTGGGATTTAGAAATGACAGACTCCTAGATGGCCCCTTCTGTCCTCACTGGTCTCTGAGAACTGCACACACTGATACTGGACAGAAGCCTGATACTTTCCTCCTGCATCCAGATGTAAAAAGTTCCCCCAATTCCCTCTTATGTGTTTGAGCTTGGTTTCTGACACTGGCTTCCAACGTGCCCCTTTCTGATGTGTCTCTTGTTCCTCTCAAGAGCCAACTTAAGCAATTCCTGTTCACAGTGGTGGGGAAGTGGGCATTTTTTTTTCAAAGGAAAACAAAATTGTTAAGCTTAGAAAAACATCAGCCCTATGTCCACTCATTGGATTCTGCAACATTTCTAGCCAGCTGTGACCTTTGAACTGACATCCGGGAGACATAGTTTGGCACATTAAGGAAATCTACACTCAATAAATGATTCTGCATTTTTTCCAGTGGCCCATTCTGAAAGTGCTCCACAGACCTTGGGATTCTCATTTACAAAGGTGCAGTGAGGCATTGGCAATCTACCTTCTTAGACACATATGTAAATATCTCTGAGCCCACAGGACTCAATTAAGTCAGGCTGTGTCAAGAGGAATGGAGTCATCCAGGGACTGCAGGGGAGCTGGGACGCTCTTCCAGAGAACAGCTACTGACACTCAGAAATTATATTCATAAAATATTGATGAGAAAATAATAATCCAGTAACTAATAGGATGTGGCCTGATTTCTATCTCTGAACGTAAACATGTTTATTACCACTCCCCTCAATGTAATCTGAAAATGTCTTCTGCAATCTTAATAGCTTTTCTTTTTTAGAAGTAGTGGTATTTGGTATTTCTTCCTTTTCATTTCTTTTTTTTTAATGATTTTTTTTTATTTAAAGTTAAAACAAGCTTGACCTCTTTTACTTGTCAATCCCAGTTCCCTCCCCTCCCTCGCTCCCTCCCTCGCTCCCTCCCTCGCTCCATCCCTTCCTTCCTCCCTCCCCTGCTCTCCCATCTCATCCCATTCTGCTCCCCAGGGAGGGTAAGGCCTTCCAAGGGTTTCATCAAAGTCTGTCACATCATTTAGAGCAGGGCCTAGGCCCTCCCCCATGTGTCTTGGCTGAGAGAGTGCCTCTCTGTGTGGGGTGGGCTCCCAAATTCCATTTGTCCCAATTTTCAATTTTTTAGTATATGTGAGTACCCAAAGTCCATTTGTTTTGTTTCTAATACATGTTTTACTGAAGGTGGAACATATTGCCCATTGACTTTATTCGGTATCTATCATCTATCTATCTATCTACCTATCTATCTATCATCTATCTATCTATTATCTATCTATCGATAATCTATCTATCTATCATTTATCTATGCATCTATCATCTATTTGTTGTAATCTGTTCTGTCCCCCAGGATCTATGATAGATGTTAGAGGTGCTACAGGGCAAAGTCAGTAAATGTATAGAAGCTGCCAGAAAGAAATATAGTAGCTACAGAGGGAGACAGTGAAATGGAAGGTTGGAAAAAGCTCTTTGGCAACAGGGTCTAGAGAGGCCATCCAGATGGAGACTGGGGATTGCACGGTGCGCATAGGGGGAACAGAGTCTTTGAAGCGGAGTTTAAGAGTATTTGAGGAACGGAGAGAAGCCATTGTGGTCAGGGTGGCTGGGATGGGAAGTGATGTGAGATGAGACCAACGAGAAGCCTGAGGCCACTCAGGCCTTATGGGTAATAAGGATGAGATGTGGAGGGAGAGAGAGAGGAGGAGGGGGGAGGGGAAGGAGGAGGAAGGAGGTGGGGATTTGGTAGTGTCACAGGAGGTGGAGAAGGGAGGCTGGATGGATTGAGTAAAGAAAGACACAAGGCAGAGGCCAGTGTATTTTTTTACATATGTATGTGTTCATGTTTATGTCCTGCTACACACTTCTCTGCATATGCTTCTGCGCCGCCCTCAGGAATGCTATCCTCTTCCTTTGAGAGTGTCTCTCATTGGCTGGAGACTCACCAGTTGAGCTAGACTGGCTGACCAGCGAGTCCTCGGGGGTCCTCCTGTTTTGTATGCCCCAGGTTTTGGATTGCAGGCAAATATCACTGTGCCCAGCATTTTTATGTGGGTTCTGGTGACCAAACTCTGGTTTTCAGGCTTGCAGCGCAAACACTTTGCCCACTGAGCCACCTCCCAGGCCCCATTGCCAGTGTCTGGAAGTGAGCAGTGGGGGTTGGTGGTGGTGGATGCTGGAAGACTCTTAAAGAAGAAGGGTTTCCATAGGAAGGCTGGGGGGATGAAGACATAGCAGATCATAAGTTAGGGGAACCTGCTATAGTATATGAAGACGTGTTTGAATGTCAAGCCTTGTCATTTATTGCTGTAACTCTCAAAGTGATGCTAGAAATACTCAAAGATCAGGTCACAGAATTTTTGAACACCTAGTCTTGGGGGTTAGAGGGGGTTCAAAGATTGACAATACGTTTTGCAAATGATACAGCAGATGGAAGTATGTAATCATATGTTTCTCTTGCAGCTTGCATGGTCAGCTCTTGTTACTGCTTTTGAACCAGACATGCTAGAGGACACACAGGTACAGGGAGAGTGAAAGCGGGGCTTAGAGAATTGTCCAGAGCATCTAGAAAGAACAAGAATGATGATTCAAAAAGAGAAGAAAGTGAACTAGCAAGATGGCTCAGAGGGTAAGAGTGCTTGCTGCCAGCCCGAGGACCCTGGGAGCCTCATGGTGGAAAGAGAACATACTCTCTCTCTCTCTCTCTTTCTCGCCTCGCTGCTCATCAAATAGTTAAGTAATAAAAGGCAGAGAGTGCTTGGTACTCTGCAATCTACTCGTGTAGCACCGTCCCTGGCATTTCAGGACGTGTAGCTCAGATTGCTAAAATCTATTCTTCCAGATGAAATTTTCCTTTCCGAACCAACATTCAAACAAAAGTCGAAAGCCCTGAAGCCTTTCAGAGCATTCTCCAGCACAGCTGCCTTCCTAGTAAACTTCACAGGCCTGTTTGCTTTGCTGCCAGCCTGTCCAGTTCTGAGAACACACTGTCCTGTGCTTTGTTCTGCTTATCTCTGCTTATGTTTGCTGTCCTGACAGGGTTGATGGTGCTTTTAGGAAGCATAATATTTGGATGGTTGGTTAGCAGTAGGCAGAACAGAATACATAATTTTGGGGAGGGCAGAGGACAAGGCACCTGATTTGGAAGAACAGTTTGTTACAAGGGGTTTCTGGTGTGTGTTGTGCAAGGCTCAGTTCTCTATGGTTGGTATAATACACTAAAGTTTTGGGGTGAGAGAGAAGCCTGAGTTCATTGCTTAGCTCTGCTGCTTTCTACTTTGTAACTTAAGGCTTGTGACTTTATGTCTTTGAGCCCCATGTTGTCATCAGTAAAATATGGATAATTATAGATATGAAAATTGCCAGGTTGTTGTGAAGGGTAACTGCTATAACTCATATAAAGCATTTAATATGCTACTTAATTCATGCTGGAAACCACCAAGTTTACTATGTCCATCATATTATAATAATTGAGCTTGCAAACATGGCTTTCAGTTTGACAGGAAGTACAGTGTGTGTTTGGAACGCCGGAAGGACAGGTAGCACTGACATCATGAGTGGAGGGTGTTGGAGTAATAGATGAGTCTATTCTAATCCAGCAATGGTTGTAAACTGGAAACCCCTGGCATGTTGTACTCATCCAGTTGTCAAATTCAATTGAAAATTTAAAATTAAACAATTTAGGGTAGATGGGTATGCATAGATGGGTAAGATTACAGGCATGGATGTAGTGTGCTTGTAATACCAGCATCCGGGAGACTCGGGGGGCTGAGTCAGGAATGTTCTGATTTGGGGGTTATCCTGGGCTCCATAGTGAGAAACTATCAGAGAGAGGTAGAGGGCTAGGAAGATAACTCAGTTGGTAAAGTGATTGCTTTGCAAGCCTGAGAATCTAGATTTGATCCTC